TTGTCCAGGCCCTGCTTGAGCCCTAACGCCAGGAGGCTCACTACTACCCACACCAGCCCTTGACCTTGGTCAGAGTTACACTTGACTAACTTTGATCTTCTGTTCAGTCTGGAGGCTTCCCCAGTTACCGCGTTTAATCCTTAGACTTGGCTCATTTGGGAAACTGAGACTCAGAGATGAAGTAACTTGCCCAAAGTCCCATGAGGAAAGATGTCATTTCACACTTCTCACCATCCTGTCTGCTCCATGTACCCATTTTATTCCACTGGTGTCCACCTTAAAAAAGGTACCCAGAACTGATGATTACAGTGCTCTCTTGTGAGGCTTATCAGCCCAAAGAGCAGTGGACCTGTGACCTCCTCTCGCTGGGACACTGATGCACCTCCAGCTGCATCACATTTTTGGCAGCAGCATTACAAGCTGACACCCTCTGAGCCTGTCGTCTTTCTCTAAGCCCAGGGTTGTTTGGGGGTTTTCCTCATGCTGCTCTAAGGCCATTTATTCTCCTTTTTTGTGTGCAGCTGGGCACGAGCATTGGACCTCACATTCTTACCTGTTTGAGTCAACTCAGCTTCCTGAGGGAAATGCTGCAGCTCAATCTGGCCCTGAGTTCCTGCTGTGGGCTGGCTACAGGCCAGACTTTGGCAGTGACGCCAGAGTGGCCAGACTTCTGTGGAATGCGGCATCCCAGGCGGCTCTTGGTGACTGGAGACAGATTCCATGGTAGCCAAACCCCATAGGGAATAGGCCCCCAGCCCCAGCAGACAGAAGGCTTGTAGGCAGGGCCAGAGAGTCTCAGCCTGGCAAGGGACAGTCCTGGGGGACTCTCCTGGCTCCCATAACCCCTGGGAAGTCTTCAGTCCACAGGCTCCAGGGGGCGGGGGCAGGAGAAGCTCCCTAGGCGCCAGACAGGGGTGGCCAAGGCACATTCCCAGGCTCCAGTGGAAAGGAGGTTTCTGGGAGCTCTTCCCCTGAAGCTTTTGGAAGGGAACTTTTGGGCTCAGTTCATCCTTGGGTGTCTCGTTTGTATATTTCTGAGGCTGAGGAGAGCCAGGACCAGGCTTCGTGGTATGACTGCCCCTATCAGCTCATGCTGTGAGTTTCCCCATCAGAGCTTAATCTGTGGGATTTTTAAAGTTTTTCCTGGGCTTATAGGTTCTCAGAGTTTGGAAGATAAACTGTAGTGTTCATCTAGTCTATTTCATATTCAATAAAGGTATATTCCCTACTGTATCTTTGTTAGGTAATTTGCTAGCCTCTGCACGAACATACCCATCCCCCAAGACGGCCTCTTCCACTGTTTTTTACTATAGGAAGTTCTTCCTGTAAGTGAAAGTCTACCTGTTGGAGCTTTTGCCCACTGGCCCTTCTTCTGCCCTTGTGCCCTGTGGTCTTCCGTAACCGTCTCTGAAGACAACAATTCTCTGGGAGGAGAGCACCTTAAGCTGCCCTTGATCAATGTCTGAGGTGAATCATTGGCAGCTGCCAGTGGTACCAAGTGAGGCCCTGGGGGAGGGGACCGGCAAGTGCCCCTAGTGGCTGCACGCACTGTATGAGAGGGTATTCCATTATGAGAGTGAGACCTAAGAAGCAACAAAGCTTCAGAGGAAAAGGCCCCGTCAGCATCACCACTACCATCATCTGTCGTATCTTTTGTAGTACCTGCCAGGAACAGGTACTTACAGATATCTCGATAGATGTCTCAATAGATAGATAGGTAGGTAGGTAAGTAGGTAGATAAATAGGTAACCTCACTTTATATCATAGACACCATTTGAAGAAAGGCTAGTGCAGGAGAGAAAATGACTTGCCCGATGTTCCAAAGCTAGTAAGTAGGAGATTTAGATTTAACCCACCGTCTTCCTAACCCCAAAGCCCAAATTCCTCAGTCACTCTGTTGCCCAATCTTAAAGACTTACTATTGGAGACCCAACAGCAGTGTGTGTGTGTGTGTGTGTGTGTTGGGCGGGGTTGACACCCAGCTTGGGTAAAAAGGCAGCCCTGGTATCCTGTGCGCCCATTACCAAACACCATCCTGCAGACTTCTCTTCCAGTTGGCAGCCAGGCCAAGAGAAAGTAGAGCTCACAATGGGAAAGAACTCTTGGGACTGAAGTATCCCTACCATGACTGGATTACTCAGGCTTGATGTAAGAAAAGGGAACAATTTCTGCTTCTCCAAGACTTGTTTTGACTTTCCCTTCTGCACCTAATATGCAGGCACATGTAGCAGGCCTCATGTTTAATTCGCTAACCTGAGCATTTTCAGAGCTGCTAATCAGAGTTGATATCAAATACAGTGTGGTTTAACATCTATGGTTTAACAACGTTTTTCTCATAAAAGACTTCTACTCTACTCCGTTTTGGACTTCACTGTTGCTGCATGGTCATTTATCTAATAAGCATTTATTAAGGACCTCTTATGTGCTCCGTCCCGTGCTTGATGACATTGGTAAAATGGCGATAGTCTTAAATTTTCCAAAATACTCCCAATTTTAAGTATTTTTCCCTTTTCAATAAATAGTTACCATATCAGACCATAAATCCCAATTTTTCTGTGGAAAAAAATGGGCACTGTAATTGTTAGGAATTCATGAGAAGATGTGAAGACTCATAGCCCATGCCCTCAAGGATCTGGCAGCCTCCCTAGAAGCATCATCCCAGTCTTCAGGATAACAAGACAGTCTGTTAAGTGCTATTGTAGGATTTCAGAGAGGAGATCAGAATTGAAAGGGGCAATCAGGGGAGAGATTTCATGGATGAGGTAGAATTTGACTTAGACCTCCAGGATATGTTGGGTTGGATTGGTAGAAAAGGAGAAAAGGTATTTCTGGAGGGTATTTAGCATAAACATTGGAGTGGCCTAAGTTTAGAACATGAGGGAGGTAAGTTTAGAACATGAGGGAGAGAGGCTAGAAGGGCCAGTCCAGCCATGCTGAAGCAAGTTTCTGGTGTCAGCCTGAAGAATGTGGACGTCATCCTGTGGGCAATGGGAAGAGAAGGTCAAACGGCCTGGGCTCACATGCCAGTTGCCTCTGCATGACCCTGGGCAAATTACCTGCCTTAGTTGGCCCTCAGTTTCCTTATCTAAAAATTAGGGATGTTGATACCTCATAGAGCTGTTGTGAGGTTTAAGGGAAATACTGCATAAAATTGTCCATCATGTTACCCAGCACTATATAGTGTTAGCTATAAATTATTTAGAGCAGTAAACTGATACAATTAGAAAAGGGGTTTAAGAGGATAATAGGTATCCAGAACATCTATTGGAGAAGAGACTAAAGATTTGAGAGACTATTCTAGTAGTCTAAACAGGAAATGATACAGGCCTGACCAGAGTTGGTCAAGAGGAGATGGTGAATCTTAGATGCCAAGAAGGAAAAACTGATGGGTCTTGATTGCTGACTGGATGGTGTGGGCTGTAGCTGGCTTATTGGGTGTGGGTGTTTCATTGTCGGGTGATCCATCACCTCGTGGATCCCATGAAAGTCCTTGGAAGAAAGGAAAGGAAATGTGGGTGTTCTTGCTGTGATCTGTGAGAGGTCGGGATTGTAGATAGAACGGGCACCCTCTGATGCAGTGGCACCAGGACATTTCAAAGGCCCCCTGCCTCCTATCTGAAATCCTGTTGGTAGAACTGTGACAGCAGTGCTGTCATTAACAGACGATAATACTGGAGAGGGTAGCGCTTCTGCTCTCCCAGTAGTGGAGCTGAAAACGGGCCTGAAGGCCAGATCGGAGGCCCATGGGAATGGGAAACAGTTTTAGTGTGGGAGTAGGGCTGGGGGGCCTGTCACAAGGGAGAGGAGCAGTGAAAGAGGAAGTGGGGTGTGCTGAAGACACGCTGAGCCTCTCACAGCCTTGCCTCCGAATCTCCCTCCTTTTTTTTTTTTTTTTTTTTTTTGCGGTACGCGGGCCTCTGTGTTGTGGCCTCTCCCGTCGCGGAGCACAGGCTCCGGACGCGCAGGCTCAGCGGCCATGGCTCACGGGCCCAGCCGCTCCGCGGCACGTGGGATCCTCCCGGACCGGGGCACGAACCCACGTCCCCTGCGTCGGCAGGCGGACTCTCAACCACTGCGCCACCAGGGAAGCCCCCGAATCTCCCTCTTTGACATCACCATCTGCACACTCAGCAGCCCCCAGGCTTCATGGAGCGTTTCCCCCTTGCCAAATTCAAGCTCCAAATGCTCACTGCCTTTGGTACAAATGTTAGACAAACTGAAGTCACATGCATCTTTGATCCCGTTGGGGCATAATCAGAATCACAGCTGGGAGGAGAGGAAGCCTGGGAGGAGGGCCATGTTGTTGGGTAAAATGCAATTATGCTGTTAGAGAGGGAAAAACAGCTTGGCCTTGAGCACTGTTACAAACATTAACACCTTACTCCTTCCCTCTGGTTAAGGAGGGTCCTGGGACACAAAAAAAGACTGCCCCCTCCTTCAAGTCCTTCCCTGTGGGAGTTCCAGCCCAGCTCAAAGAGCGGCTCTGACCCCTGAGTCAGCCCCAGAGCTGATCCCACCCCAGAGTTAACTCCACAGGAGAAGTGAGCCAAGGCTAGGCTAGCCACCTGGTGCAGCCCCCACTGGCACTCCAGCCACTCTCAGGAGTTTGGTGTTGATCCTTCCTCAGGAAGCTGGGCCTGTGAGTGCCAGGGGAGCTGGGCCTTGGGCAGCCCCCAGAGAAGAAACCAGATGCTGTTGGAAGTCTCAAAGCTTCTAGAAAGAGGGTCTACAACGGAGTGAAATAATGAAAAGAGGGTAAGGAGGTGTCAGACACTTTTGTCAGAGTGGTTCTAAGCCCCAGGCTGCGTACACTTGGGCCCCAGCAATAACCCAGAGGCTGAGAGTCCCTTTGAGGCGTTTCCGGAACAGCAGAAGCCCCTGGGCCAGATCCCGCTGGATCCCACCGGATCCCTCTGCAGCCTTGCCACAGAGCCACAGGGTTTCTCTTTGCAATCTGCTTGGAGTTTTGTTTGTATCTCTTTTGCATTTTTGTCTTCCAGAGTGGAACACTTAAGGATCCGGACTCGAGCAAGACCCCACCTCAGCGGCCAGCCCCCCAAGGTTGTTTACAGTATATTCTCGACTGTAATGGCATTGCAGTAGGGCCAAAACAAGTCCAAGCTTCTTAAAGCGATTGGTAGTTAAGTTTTCAAAGCAGAAATTTTAAGCCAAAAACAAACAAGGAAAGAAAGGAAAGCGGGGAGGGGAGCAACAGACCCTCCCATTGGTGCCATTTCTGCGTTTTTTCAAGGCTGACTGGACTGTGTTTTTCCTATGCAGTGTCAGTGCCTCTGTCTGGTTGTTTACCTGTTCCTGTTCGTGCTTGTAATGCTCACTTATGTTTCTCTGTATACCTTGTGATTCCAGGGCTGTTTGTCAACAGTGTACAAAAGAATTGTGCCTCTCCCAAGTTCAGTGTGACTAGCTTCTGGGTGGTTTGATAGTATATTTTAATTACATAATGTGGGGTGAAATAGGACTGGGTGGGGGGGTGGACAGGGGAGAAACAAAGACCACAAAAATAAAACCCAACTCCCCTCCTTCTCCCCCCAGACTCACATAAACTGCCCCCCACCCCCTGCTTACCTCCATGAGTGTGCTTGGGATCTTCAATGAACTGTGCTTTTTGCTTCCTTTCTGCATGACTAGGGTAAATAGATAGAAGTTTAAGAGATTTTCGAGGTCTTATTTCCGTAGCTTCATCCGTTGAATCTGAAGGCATCCATCTTTTTCTCCATTTGCTAAAGTTTGGTGCATTTGAGTTTATGTGAATAAGCTGGCCGTGCCTGTAGAGCTCTTGTGTTTTCAGTGATGACGTGAAATATAAAGAATAAGCTATTTCCAGGAGCGTGTTCTGTATCTGACATCCCAGTGTACCCTTCGTTTTAATTATTAACTAATTAGCTATGAGATTAGACCAAAAAAAAAAAAAAAAATGGGGCCGCTGATGTGCAATATCAAAGTGAACTTGTGAGTATTTTCCCTGTGTTCATCTTAGTCCCTGTAAGTTTTTTCTACTTTGCCGTTTCTGAATTGGCCATCTGTGCGCTTCTGTGGAACTGAGGCTGCTTCGTTTTCCCCAAAGCTTACTGTGTACAGAGATGATTCTTTAGCAATTTGGGACATAGAAGGCAGGGAGCTACTGAGAAGTCTGGGAAGGATTCAACCATTCTTCTCTTGGCCTCTCCTGAGGCATCACGACATGGGAGCGAATCGAAACTGTCCCGTTTCCCTCGAGTGGGTACACTGCCTCCAGAACTCTGAGGTGGGCACCTGCTTTAGTTGTCAGCTGTTCCAAAAGCCCTCCAGAGTCCAGAGAATGAAGAGCTTTATCTTTCCTGAGAGGGACTGTCTCAGATTTTAGCTTGTGTATTTGGGGCCGTTGGTCCACAGCGGTGGCTCTTAAAGAGCCCTCACCCGTTTGTCCTCTTTCCTCCGACATGCAGCTCCTGGGCAGGGATGAGGCAGTTACTAGACCACGCCTCGGGTCAGTGCCTCATCTTGCCATGTCCTGGCCAGGCCAGGATCGGGCACCAAGTGGCCTCCTCTAGCACCATGGGCTGCGGGAGTTCACGCCAGCAGTTTGCCTTTTGGAAGAGTGCTTCTAGCTCTACTTTTTTTTGTTTTTTTGTTTTTTTGTTTTTTTGTTTTTTTTTTTCTTGCGTTATGCGGGCCTCTCACTGTCGTGGCCTCTCCCATTTGCGGAGCACAGGCTCCGGACGCGCAGGCTCAGTGGCCATGGCTCACGGGCCCAGCCGCTCCGCGGCATGTGGGATCTTCCCGAAACGGGGCACGAACCCGCGTCTCCTGCATCGGCAGGCGGACTCTCAAGCACTGCGCCACCAGGGAAGCCCTCTAGCTCTACTTTTGCATTCCCTCTCACTTCTGTACTGACATGTCACCTTTCTGGATTGCCAGGTTTGAGGAATAACTGGTGTTGGTGGTGTGTAACCTGATTTCTGTGTCAAGGGGCACGTGCCCTGGTTTCTGTCTTGATTGCTGGCAAATTCTGAGCTACAGGGAAATGAACTGAGTGTGAATGTTCTTGTCCGCGATTCCTCCCTTAGACGATGTAGATGCCGATGGTAGTCGATCTGTTGTAAATATATACATATATATGCAGTTAAGCACTTCCAGGTGGGTTGCATAAGAATCAGGTCCTTAAATACCTCCCAATCTGATGAAATGATAGAAAGGAATAAAGAAACATTTCCCAGAATGGAGGAATACATTTTATTTTTTTAATTTATTTTTGTCCAAGCGGTGAGCTGACGGTGGTGTTGCTTCTTTGCATGTGATCAGTGTGAACATTCAGGTGCTTTTCATGTGACATTTGTGAGCCACAAATATGAAGTTGCCGTTTGAATTTAGTCAGGCTCCAGGGTGGTGTCAGCCACGGTCTATCAGGTGAGGGAGAAAGGGACTAGGGCTCCCTCCCAGGGCCAAACACAAGCAGACAGCACACCCTGACTGTCCTGTGCCCTCAGGCAGCATGCTAAGGACAACTCTGTGGCCTGGGGCATCCGTGTCACAGTATAGGATTGCCGTTCAGGTGTTTTGTACCCATTTCTTTTCTGATGTTGTCGCCTTTTTTTGTACCAATCCAGCTGGGAGAACCTCAGCCAATGCTGGAAGTGTGATTGAAGTACCTCTCTCCTGTGACTCTTGTACAGCTTAATGTGCAATAAAGGAAAAGTTATATCTGTCTTCAGTGTTAAGTTGTAAAGTTTCTGGCTATTCAAGCATCTCTGTACAGTTGGGAAAGCACTCAGGGTTCTGGTACAAGAGGCTGAGCTATCAGCCTGCGGTACTTTACAAGAAAATGCTGATACAAATGATGTCAGACTTTGGGAGAGGCAGAAACTGGTTAATATGCAATATGCTCTGCTCATCCGTCATCTTCACTAGTTTCTGATTTGAACTTAGAACTTCTTCAACATGCAAAATCTCAGTCATTTACTCATTTACTCATTTATGTGTAACTCACCCTGGTATTAATCGGTCATTGATGATAAAGTGGAGTCCATGCCGTGTAGACGGGAAACTGGCTTACGATCATGGATGTACTATGGTACAGGCGTACAGTTCTGCCTCTCCAGAGGGTACAGGTGTCCTGGTGTTTCTAGAAAGCTAAGTTACAGTACAACTCTTAGCTGTCGTTGAGTTTCTGTAAGCCAACTCCTTCCAGTGGGCACGTGAACGTGGACTCTGGGATTGAGACTGAGAAATGAGATCTCCAGGTCACCAGATGGTTTTCTGTCTCACGCTGGGAGAAAGGGATCCTGGTCCTTCTGGGCGGGGG